ACCTCCAAAATTATGTATTGAAGTCTTAAAGCCCAGTACCTCAGAATGTGACCTTATTTGGAAATAGGGTATTTGCAAATGTAATTAGTTAAGAAGAGGTGACACTGGAGTAGGGTGGGCCTCTAATCCAATATGAAGTCAGCTATGTGAAGACAGAAAGACAGGGAGAACATTGTGTGAAGTTGGAGGCAGAGATGAGCGTGACGCATCTACAAACCAAGAAATGTCAAGGACTGCCCGTGGTCACCAGGAGCTAGGTGAGAGACATGGAACAGATTCTCCCTCAGAGCCCTCAGAAGGAACCAATCCTGCTGATACCTTGATTTTTGGACTTATAACCTCTAGAACTATGAGACGATACATTTCTGTTGTATTAAGCCACCCGATTTGTGGTGCTGTGTTATGGCAGCCCTGGGAAACTGATACAAATGGGAAATTATTTGAGGGGATTCCCTAGACCAGGAAAAACATAAGGAACTTATTATAACACTATCTTACTTCTATTTAGTGTAAACATATCACTTTCATTTTATTCCCACGACTACCTTGTGGCATAAGTAAAATTTTTCTCAATTTAGGAGGAAACTGAGGCTTGGAGGTTATCAGTAACTCAGCTCCGAAATATTTTAATGAAACTCTTCTCTTTCTGCTCCATCACAGTAATTAGTGGCTCTTCCTGTTGTATTTGCACTTTTCTCAGAGGAGTTGGGTGTGTTTATTCCTCTGCTTCTTAATATGTAAACTTTTTCCAGCATCATGGCATTTTTCACCCCAGTCACCTGTTCCTGCTTGGCTCACATCTTTCCTTGGGGACCAAAGGGTCCTCTTTGAGGCCCAGTGGTTGGAGGGGCTCCCTCTGTGCTCTAGAGAACCAAGACTGGCCACAGTGGAGTTCTTGTGCCTGAGCAGAAGCTCTTAGCTATGACAAGAATCCAGAGAGCCTCTTGGGGCAGGAGGGACTGGTGCCATCTGGGCAGCCCCTGCCCTTACTGATTGCGGGGGGTCACTGTGGGTAATGCCAACTCCTGTGGCCACGCCCACTCACAAAGTCTTGGCCATCACAGGTTGGGGCAGTGAGAAGATGAAAGAGAGAGAATAGAAGACTGCACTGTGGCTGATGGCAGCGCCACCCACCCTAACACGGCCTGTCTGTAGGCAGCTCAGCCAACACAGTTTTGTCTTCCTTCCTCATGCATTGTAATGTGAAATATCTGTCTTCATCATGCAGCAACAAAAGCAATGCATCAGAGCATAATAAAATGTCTGCCATGGTGCTAAGAAAAACCTTGAAAATGAATACTTTCAGAGCCTGAATTCTGTATTCTACTCATAAGGAGAAATCATTAATCATTTATTATTTTTCCCATTTGACATATTGAAAGTTTTATGTATCCAAATTTTAAATACCATTCTTTGGCTGTCAGCCAGATCCTCGTCTTCACAAAATGTACTCCTGAGAGAATTCCTGAGATATACATTGGCAATGACCCAGGCTGGAAAACTCCTTAGTATAAAATAACCTTGTTTCCCTGCCTCCTTTTTGTTCAGGAAATTTGGAACTTTCTCCATGGGCAGCAGAAATTCAGGATTCATTCTCTCCATAGACCTTCACATTGAATCCCAGATGCTGTCATAGTTCAAGTTTGTACTTTTCTCCTTTTTATTCCAGCCATCCTTGCCACTTTTCTGTTTCTGCTACACCATAGGAATGTTCCTATCTCAGAAACTGCCCTTCTTCCAGATGTCCACATGGCCAAACCCCTCATTTCCCAGTCTTGGCTCAAATGCCAACTTCTCAGTGAGGCCTACTCTGTCTGAAACACTTCTGTCTAACAATGTGTGTCCCTCCTTCCCGCTAGAATGAGAGTTCCATGAGGGCAGGGATCTCTGTTTTGTTCACAGGTGACTCTTCAAGTGCCTAACACAGTGCCTGGCACATAATAGGTGCTTAATAAATATTTGTTAAATGAATAAATGGCAATAAGCAGTTTTTGAAGACCGAAGAATCTTAAGGATGAAAGAGACCTTAGAAAGTATTTGATTAGATGTTGAGAAACATTTCCTGCCCTGCCCCCAGGATAGTCAAAGAAAAAGATTTATGAGTAGAATTTGTTTTCCATTAAAAATTATTAATAAATCCCATGGGAGAATAATGTAGTTCTTAAATCTTAGCCACCTACTTCATTACATAGAAGAATATTGATGAGAAATTGTGGGCAGAGTTAAGAAATAGCAAGTGTGCATCATTGATCACTTGAAACCCCCACCGCCTTTTATAGAGGAGGCAGACATTGCTCAGAGAAGAGAAGAAATTTTATTTTTCTCAAGGTTGATCATATTTTTCTCAAGGTTGATCTGATCATAGCTGATCAGAGGCAGATTCAAGAGTAAACCTGAGCTGCCCTGGCCTACATTCAGTGCTGTGTCCACCAGCAGAAGACGAAGAATCTGAAAAAAGGCTTTGATGCTTTTCTGCTCGATTAAGCTTAAATGAGCATTGGACACAACACACTGTCATAAAATCAGTAGATGACTGCTCATTGTAAATTAATGAACAAATGTGGACATCAGAATTACTTATTGCCTTTAATATAATGTCACCATATCTGTCCTATCAGTGACTGCAAACATCCTACCTCCCCCGTCCCATGGATTATTAATATGATCTAACATTTAACAAATATAATAATGTGTGAACATTGTTCCAACTGCCTGAGGCCAAGAAGGGCTCTGTAAACACACCCAATCAGCTCGCTTTAAAATGTGTATCTCTCTAGTCTGACCTTTTTCATAGGATAGGACTGCCTCTTTTGTTGCTGGATTTTTACTTTGTGAGTTGTTGTTCTTTGTTGATAGTATTACCTATAAATACACCCATATAGATTAAGCCTCTGAAAATACGTAATAAATATTCAGGCCATTTAATGAGTTGATAATGACTTTTACTTAAGTACCCCGTTTGCATATCAACACATTTATTGTCACCCATGAATACTATAATTTGAAGGGTGAAGTTAATTTTAAAATCATTGTTCTTCGTGTTTATTTTATTAGATTAAATACGTCAATTCAAAATGTCTGTACCAATGATTGAAATGCCTAACTGCCATTTTGGTTTATAGTTAAACAGCTACCCAGAAATCTACTTCTTTAAACAGAGTTCTAATGATCCAGTTGTTCCACCGTTACTGTCTATTAAATCTGTCAATTATAGTTTATCAAGAATATTGAAACGTGCCAAGATAGGCAACTGTAGGGGTCTTAAAAATCATAAGGCCATAGAGTCCCAGCCTTTAGGGAGCTTGCAGTCTGAGAGATTAGAGGCGAGAGTCAAAAAGAGAACTAACGATCTCAGGTAGTAAATAGAAAGTTCTAGATATATGGCTTTGATACTAACTGGGGATAAGGGAGAGATGAAGGTAGAAATAAATGTTGGGGCCAGATAGTTTCATCATGCCTTTGCTTTTAATTATAGACTATTTCTTTCTCTTTGTCTTAATTTTAATTTCTCTAGAATACAAGAAATCCAAAAAGTTTTCTTGGACTTCTTAAGTTTGTTATTATCTTCCAAGAATTTGTTCTTTCATCTCCTGGGATGTAGGTCACCAGCTTGGGCTAAAGAAATCCACTTGATTCATACTGAAATTTGACAGATCAGAAGAATTATTTCTATTTTCCATTTGTCTTATGGAGAGCCAGGTAGGAACAAGTTTCCCTTTTCTCCTTGGAAGATAAGTTAGTTAATATATCTATTTATAATAATTATCTTTGTGCATACCACATTGGTTGTGCTTAACAACAACAACAAAAATTTATCTATCCAAATAAAAGAAAAAAAGAAAAAAAATCTCATCTATCTAAATGTCACAGTTTTTAAACATTAAAAAGAATCCTTTCCTCATGTTTGGTTTCATTTTTTTCTAAATTATAGATTCATAGTCACATAAACAAATACAAATTGTGGGGAGAATAAAAAAGAGGGACTGAAATACTGTGAACTATTTGGAATATATTAAATTTAACTGGCTAAAGAACAGGGAAATTCTTAATCGGGAAAATAGTGCAATAAAAATCTATGAATTTAAAATTTCATCTTCATTTTTCTCAAGGTTAATGGTAATTTAAAAAAATCAAAGTCCAATGTGTATTTTGATTTTTCTCTTCACATTGACTCATTTCACTTATTTAGTCATTTTTCTTCTGTGGTCGTGATGCATATTTTAGAATCAGAATTATTTTAAAGCTACGGTGAACCCTATAGAGTTTCTAACCCAATCTCTTCATTTTGCAAATTTAAGAACTAAAGCCAAGAGATATTATGGGACTGACTGAGGTCACAGAGCAAATTAGCAGAAGGGCTGAGACTAAATCCCAAGCACCCCAAAGACATTACTGGAAGTATTAGACCAAATCTTGCTTCGACATACGAAATAGAAAACAACTCAAATTAATACGCAATGCCTCTGTAATTCCACCTTTACAAACTGTAATTCTAGGATATTTTGGACAATGTGCATGTATCAGTAGTATGTTACTATATTTCCCAGTGCCCAGACTTTTCCCTCTTCTGTAGACCTTCCCTGGATGAGCTCCAGGTATGGTACTGTAAATAGCAGAAACAAAATTTTCTAAAGATTAATTAAATATATTTCAAAATTTCCTGTGTTTTTATCATGAAATATTAACAGATTTTCTTGGTTTATGTTGAAGTCATAGTTAGCTATCTGTGATATTGTTGAATGTCACTCATTGCCTATGTGGTATTACTTTACCCATAAATCTCCTGGAACCTATGGAGGTTATTTAAAGTGGAGGCAGTAAAATCTGTTTGCTCAGTTCATCAGAAAAGAATAGGTTTGAGCAATTTGTCTTCCTGATATGGTCTGGCCTCTACTGAAAGCAGAGAACTTAACTCAAAGGTCTCATTCAGGCACTTTAATCTCTGACTGAATCATTAAATGGAGTTAATAGTTAAAACTAGCTATAATTTAAAAACTTACTTGTCAACATATTCAATTAGATCTGTAGAATTCTTGGTTGACATTTTGGCTGGAGGTAATGTTACCTAAAACAAAAGTTACAGATTAAAAATATATCACTGACTACTTTACAGGTTATTCTTTTTTTTTTTTTTTTCACAGTACTTATCCTTGTCATTTCCACCTTGTTGTGTAACAAGCTCATGGAAATCAAACATATACAAACAAAATTGGTAATTTATACAGATGTCTCTTCCTATTGTATAATTTTTTCCTTCTATGTATATATTTTAAATTATTCTATCTCCTATAATTCTTGTGCCCAAATTACACAGTTAGGTTTAATTTTTTTTTTCAGAATATTACAGGGGTACAAATGTTTTGGTTACATCTTGCTTTTGTGCAGTTTGAGTGAAAGTTACATCTGTGTCCATCACCAAGATACCATGCATTATATCCATTAGGTGTGAATTTACCTGTCCTCTCCTCCCCCTTCCCACCGGCTTGGTTTCCATTGAGTTTTACTACTATATGTGCATATGGGTGTTGATCAATTACTTCCAATTTAATAATGACTACATGTGGTATTTGTTTTTCCATTCTTGTGATACTTTGCTTAGAAGAATTGTCTCCAGTTCCATCCAGGTTGTTAAAAAAGGTATTAATTCACCATTTTTTTATGGCTGAACAGTAGTCCATAGTATACATATACCACATTTTATTAATCCACTCATGTATTGATGGGCACTTGGGTTGATTCTACATCTTTGTTATAGTGAATTGTGCTGCAATAAACATTTAAGCTCATGTGTTTTTGATAGAATGATTTTTTTTCCTTTGGGTAAATACCCAATACTGGGATTGCTGGATCAAATTGTAGGTCTACTTTTAGTTCTTTGAGGTATTTCCATACTACTTCCCATAAAGATTGTACTAGTTTGAAGTCCCATCAACAGTATATAAGTATACCTTCCTCTCTGCATCCTTGCCAGCGTGTGTTATTTTGGGACTTTTTGATAAAAGCCATTCTCACTGGAGTTAGGTGATATCTCACTGTGGTTTTGATTTGCATTTCCTTGATGATTGGAGATATTGAGCATTTTTTTCATGTGTTTGTTGGACATTAGTCTATCTTCTTTTGAAAAGTTTCTGTTCATGTCCTTTGCCCACTTTTTAATGGGGTTGTTTGATTTTTTTCTTGCTGATTTGCTTGACTTCTTTGTAGATTCTGGTTATCGGGTCTTTATTGGATATATGGCATGCAAATATTTTCTCCCATTTGTTAGGTTGTCTGTTTGCTGTGTTGATTGTGTCTTTGGCTGTACAGAAGCTTTTTAATTTGATCAGGTCCCATTTATTTATTTTTTTGTTGCTGTGATTGCTTTTGGGGTCTTCTTCATAAATTCTTTGCCTAGGCCTATATCTATAAGAGTTTTTCTAACATTTTCTTCTTGAATTCTTACAGTTTCATGCTTTAGGTTTAAGTCTGTTATCCATGATGAATTAATTGTTGTGAGTGGTGAGAGGTATGGATCCTATTTAAGTCTTCTATTTGTAGCTATCCAATTTTCGCAGCACTATTTATTGAATAGGGATTGTTTTCCCCAGTGTATGTTTTTGTCTGCTTTGTCAAAAATCAGATGGCAATATAAGGATGGTTTTATATCTGGGTTCTCTATTCTGATCCATTGGTCTAGGTCTCTGTTCTTGTGCTAGTACCATATTGTTTTAGTTACTATAGCTTTGTAGTATTTTTTCCTTACTGATTTGCTTGACTTCTTTGTAGATTCTGGTAAAATGATGCCTCCCAATTTGTTCTTATTGCTTAAGGTTGCTTTGGCTATTTGGGCTCTTTTCTGGTTCCATATGAAGTGAAGAAGTACTTTTCCTAGATGTGTGAAAAATGACATTGGTAATTTAATGGGGATTGCATTGAATCTGTAGATCACTTTGGGTAGTATAGACATTTTAACAATATTGATTCTGTTGATCCATGACCATGATATGTTTTTCCATCTGTTTATGTCCTCTGTAAATTCCTTCTGCAGTGTTTTGTAGTTCTCCCTGTAGAGGTCTTTCTTCTCCTTAGTTAAATGTATTCCTAGGTATTTTATTTTCTTTTTTGCTATTGTGAAAAGTATTGAGTCTTTGATTTAATTCTCAGCTTGATTGTTGTTAGCATATATAAATGCTACAGATTTGTGTACATTGATTTTGTACCCTGAAACTTTGCTGAATTTGTTTATTAATTCCAGGAGTCTCTTGACAGAATATTTGAGGTTTTCTAGATATAAGATCATATCTTCAGCAAAGAGCGATAATTTGACCCCCCTGCTTTCCCCATTTGAATATCCTTGATTTCCTTTCTTCTTGTCTGATTGCTCTGGCTAGGACTTCCAGCACTGTGTTGAACAGAAGTGGTGATAGTGGGCAAACTTGTCTGGTTCCAGTTCTAAGGGGGAATGCTTTCAATTTTTCCTCCTTCAGTAGGATGTTGGCTGTAGATTTGTCATATTTGGCTTTTATAATTTTGAGGTAAGTCGCATCTATGCTTATTGTGTTAAGCATTCTTATGATAAAAGGGTGCTGGATTTTGTCAAATGCTTTTTCTGTGTCTATTGAGAGGATCATGTGGTTTTTGTTTTTGCTTCTATTTATGTGGTGAATTATATTTATAGATTTGTGTATGTTGAACCATCCTTGTATCTCTGGTATGAAGCCCACTTGGTCATGGTGGATTATTTTTTGATGTTCAGCTGAATTAGGTTTGTTAGGATTTTATTAAGAATTTTTGCATTGATATTCATAAGGGGTATTGGTCTGTAATTTTCTTTTTTTGTTGTGTCCTTTCCTGGCTCTGGTATCAAGGTGATATTGGCTTTATAGATCGAGTTGGGGAGGATTCCTTCCTTCTGGATGTTATGGAATAATTTCTCCAATATAGGTACAGGTTCTTCTTTGAAGATCAGGTAAAATTTGGATGTGAAATCATCTGGTCTGGGACTCTTTTTGTTGGAAGATTTTTGATAGCTGTTTCAATTTCAATACTTGATATCTGTCTGTTCAGAAATTCAGTTTCTTCCTGATTGAGCCCAGGGAGGTTGTGCACTTCCAAGAATGTGTCCATTTCCTCCATGTTTTTAAGTTTATGTGCCTAGACATTTTTATAGTATTCTGAGATGATATTTTGTATTTCTATGGTATCAGTTGTGATTTCTCCTTTTCATTTCTGAATGAGCTTATTAAAAGCCTTTCCTTTCTGGTCCCGGTCAATTAGCAGGAGGCCTGTCAATTTTGTTTATCTTTTCAAAGAACCAACTTTTTGTTTCATTAATCTTCTTGATAATTCTTTTGTTATTGATTTCATTTAGCTCTGCTCTGATCTTCGTTATTTCTTTTCTTCTGCTGGGTTTGAGATCAGTTTGCTCTTCCTTTTCCATTTCCTTGAGATGATTCATTAAATTGTTGATTTGTGATCTTTTTGTCTTTTGGATATAGGCATTTATGGCTATGAATTTTCCTCTCAGGGCTTCTTTAGCTGTATCTCAGAGATTTTGATAACTTGTGTCTCCTTTATCATTTAGTTCAAAGAATCTTTTGATTTCCATCTTAATTCCTCCTTGATCCAGCTATCATTCAGCAGTAGGTTGTTTAGTTTCCATGACTTTGTATGTAAATGAGTGTTTCTCTTGGAGTTGATTTCTGATTTTATTCCACTATGATCTGAGAAAATACATGATATAATGTCTATGTTTTTAAGTTTGTCAAGACATGTTTTGTGGCCTATGATGTGATCAATCTTAGAGAATGTCCCATTAGCTGATGAGAAGAACATATATTCAGTGGTTTTTTGGTAGAATATTCTATAGATGTCTGTTAGGCTCATTTGTTCTAGAGTTCTGTTTAAGTCCATTGTTTCTTTGTTTATTTTCTGTTTGGAGGATCTGTGCCATTCTGTCAATGGGGTGTTGAAATTCCCAGCTATTACAATGCTGCTGTTTATCACTTTGTTTAGATCAAATAGGATTTCCTTTATGAGTCTGGGTGCTCCTATGTTAGGTGTGTAACTATTTAGAATTGTTAAGTCTTCTTGTTGAATTGTTCCCTTTACCGTTACATAATGACCATCTTTGTCTTTATTTACTTTTGTTGATTTAAAGTCTGTGTTATTTGATATGAGAACGCCTACACCAGCTTTATTTTGGTTTCCATTTGCATGGGGTATTGTTTTCTGTCCCTTCAACTTGAGTTTGAATGGGTTAGGTGTGTTTCCTGGAGACAGTGGATACTTGGCTTGTATTTTTTTATCCATTTGTCCAGACTATGTCCCTTGAGTGGGGAGTTCAAGCCATTCACATTTATTGAAAGAATTGATAAGTGGAGTGGATTTCTGTTTTTCCTCTTGAGTAGAACTTTATTGCTCTATTTTACTTGTTGAGCCATAATGGTATCTGGGCCCTGACTAGCCTTTGGATGAATTTACACTGGTGGGTGTCTATTGTGTTGATCCATGTGTAATGCAGTTCTGAGTACTTCTTGCAGGGCAGCTCTGGTCTTGAAAAATTCCCTCAGTGTTTGCTTGTCTGAGAAGGTCTTTATTTCTCCCTCATATAAGAAACTTAGTTTTTCAGGATACAAAATTCTAGGCTTCCCATTATTCTGTTTGAGAAGACTGAGGGAATGGGGCCCCAATCCCTTCTGGCTTGCAAGCTCTTAGTTGAGAAGTCTGAAGTTAGTTTCATAGGTTTTCTTTGTAAGTTACCTAATTTTTTTTGCCTTGCTGCTCTTAGGAATTCCTTCATCATGTTTACTTTGGCAAGTCTAATGACTATGCATCATGGTGATTACCTCTTTGCGATGAATCTCCTAGGAGTTCTTTGAGCTTCTTGTGTCTGGATATCTAGATTTCTAGCAAGGCCAGGGAAATTTTCCTGGATTATTCCTTCAAACAGATGTTCCAACCTTTGTGTATTTTCTTCTTTACCCTCAGGGATGCCTATGATTCTCATGGTTGCCCTCTTTATATAGTCCTAAATTTCTTGTAGGCTTTGTTTGTTCCTCTGATTTCTTTGTTCTTTTTCTTTGACTGACTTGTTTAGCTCAAAGATGTTATCTTCAAGCTCTGACTTTTTTCTTCTGCCTGATCTAGCTTATTCTTAAGGCTTTCCACTGTGTTTTGTAAATCCTTGAATGAACTTTTCATTTCCAGAAGTTCTGTTTGGTTTTTCTTTCTTTAATAATTTGATTTCTTTAGAGAATTTTTCATTCATTTCCTACATTGTTTTTGTGACCTGTTTGTGTTGGGTTTCTATTTTCCCTTGTATTTCATTGAGCTTCCTTACAATCCATATTTGAAATTCTTCATCTTTCATTTTAATCTTTTCATTTAAGTTGGTATCCATTGGTAAGGAGTTATTGTTTTCTTTTGGGGTGTGTCCTTTCACTTTGATTTTTCATATTTCTGGAATTCTTTCACTGGTTCCTTCTCATCATACCTCTCAGTTGAGAGCTGAGGGTGCCAGGGCTGGCTTATGGACCTGTCTCTGAGCCCCCAAAGATTAGTCCGTGATGGTATCAGGGAGAAGAGTGCTGGTCCTGAGTTCCCTTTGGGGTCCTTTAGCAGGTTTGATGAACCTTTTGGGTTACACAGCTTTAGCAGCTCCACCCTCAGTGGCAGGCTCAGCAGGGAATGTGCCCCCACCACAGAGAAACAGGCTTCTTAGCACAGCAGTCTGGCAGTTGCCATGGGAGGGGAGGAGCTCCAGTCTCCTTGCGCCACTCCTGTGTCCTGGGTGCACTGCTCTTGAGTCCTGGGTCCTGTCCAAGCCACCAGTAGGTGATCCCACAAAACGCCGCTGCAGCAGCTCTACTCTCAGTGGTGAGCTCAGCCAGGAATGCACCCACATTGCAGAGAAACAGGCTTCTCAGCACAGAGCACTCTCGCTGTTGCTATGGGTGGGAGGGGCCACAGCTATAAGCTGGCTTGAGCCAAAATTACTTTCTGTGATGCCAGGAATGGAGGAGGTGCAGAGGAGGAGGGATCTAGGTATAAGAATGCCAGCCCTCTGGTATCTCTCAGTACTCTTCTGGCGTGTGTCCTGCTGCTGCGCCGGAGTCACCCTTGTAGGGGAGGGGAGCCCCATTACCCTTTCACTGGGCTCTGGGTCTCTCTGGCTTTGGTTCAGGCTGCTGTCCTCTCTTCTCTCTCTTCCTCTTTCTCAGTTTTGCAGCCTTTCTCTGTGGGGTTCCCGATGCCTCTGCAATCTCTCCCTGTGATCCACACCTAAGCTGCAATTGTTCTTCACTCTCCTTAGTCCAACCTTCTACCCTTCAGCTGGGACAGTCTGACAAGGTATGTCTCTAGTCAGCCATCTTGGCTTTTACTCCCACGTTATTCTTATCCACTTTATCCTTATCCACTTTATCCTTATATAAATATTTTAATTTTAAACAAAATATATACTGTAGATCATAGCCCATCAGCCCAGTTAATCTTATACATGTCCCCTTTGTATTGCTAATGACTAAAACCAAAATTAAGTCCTATGGAGATATTAGAGAGTTGCATTTCATAGATTTGGTATCGCAGTCAGGAAAAACTTTTTGCAAAAGTCAAAGCCAAAGATTATTCTTAGATAATTTTTAAATAAAATATCCAGTGATTATTGACTGAGTTACTCAAGAAGACCTCACAGAATGAATTATTCTTTAGGGGAATTGGCTAATTTTCAAAACCGAAGCCCCAAACTAGAAAGCTAGTCTATCTGAGTACCTGGATTCAGATTATCATAGTCAATGAGAAATAAAGCACAGAGCACAGCCATATACGTATTTACTAATATTAAATATAGCTGGTTACATGCATACTTAATTGACAACTTCTAATAAAATGGTACTAGTAGAAAGTTCTAGTTTCATGAAAGTTGATAATTTGAAGCATTGCTATGATCAGAAAGAGGATAGCAAATGTACTCACTGTTTTGCATATGCTGAAAATGCTTTAAACTGCAATATTCTTTTAAGTTTAAAAAACAAAACACAAATTTATCCTAATTTTAACAGCCTATCACTGAACTGGATTTAATAGGGAGAATATGAGTGGTATTCCCTCTTAGTTAAAAACTTAAACAAAATATATTCCTAGGATATTTTTTCTTGCTTTGTGTTATTTCACACTGTAATGGTGGGCAGAATACGTTAAGACCCACATACAGAGAGAATTTCTTTTGCAAATACCTAAAGAACTACTATTTCTTAAGGCCTAAGAAACTTAACTGGAAAACTCCCTCCTCCAATAAAACTTAAAGGAAAAAAAAAGGTAAGTTCATTATCAAGGAAGCTGATAAAGAACACCTGACAATAGTGTCTCCTGACCCAGCCCTCTTGGTGGTGGACAAAGAGAACAGGCTGGAGGCAGCTCACAATGCAATCAGTGAGTTTCTGTGGTAGTGCTGGGGCCCTGTCCCCATTGCTGATTGGGATCTCCAATGGGTCTGATGCTCAGAAGCCAAGTCTTCGCCTAGAGAATGGATCTGCTGATCCACTCGCATTCGGTGTCCACAGTATGGAAACTAGATTCCTAGAGGACCTGACTGGTTTTCTGCCCTCGTGTGTGTTTTCACTTCCATTTCCTACTGGAACGAATCTGGGCCCTGGGATCTCACATACTGCATGCTAGTTCTTTCCTTCTGACCTCACCACTGTTCCTCCTGGTCTGTAAATGTGTGTGTGTGTATGTGTGTGTGTGTGTGTGTGTGTGTGTGTGTACCTATTTTTGGTATTTTCTCACCGATTGTCCCTGCCTAACATGTTCGGCAACCAGTAGCCCTTTCTAAGTATTTGTGGAATTAAAGAGTATGATGAATACTGTGTCGAAGGGCACTAAATTACTGGGCCATTGTCCTCCTTTCTCTTTCTGGAGTATAACAATTAGTTATATATCTATTTTATTTTACACCTATAACACACACTTTTGAAAGGACAAATGTTAAATGTGACAATGGAGGAAAATTTGGAAAAATATAGAAAAGTTAAAGATACAGGAAAAAAAATTCTCACTTGTAATTCTATTACCCAGAATAAAAGCCATTAACATGGTGGTGCATTTATTTTAGTTTTTAATGTATCTAAGACAGTATCTAAATTTTTGCATCTTTGCTAATTGAATACAGGAGTCATTTCTGTTTTATCCCTATTCCTACAGGCTAGGATGTTGTGTATAATAATTGTCTCACAGTCAAACAACGTGGTGGTTATTATGGTATTTGTTCATACATATGAGTTTTCACCTATTTCATCATAATACTTTAAAATGCTATAGTTCTTTTTGGCTTTGTGGACCATATAAAATACTTTCTTGTATGTGATGCAATTTCATTCTTTCAACAGCCCTGTAAAGTAGGCATCATTATCTTTATGTTAATGTAAGGATGACATTAGTTACTTTAAGCAGCTGAAATCTTTCCTTATTACAGAAAGAATGTAAGATGACTTTTATAGGTGAGGATCTTGAGGGTCAGAGAGGTAATGGACTTGCTCAAGATCATGTATATGATGATAATAATCATGCTATAGCTATTTATTGATTGAGTCTTTCCTACTTGCTAAGCACTTTACCTGAGACGAACCCAACAACAACTTTGGATAATAGGCCTAATTAGCTCATTTTACAGAAAAGGAAATAGAAGTTAAGTGATCATCCAAAGTCCCATGGCTAGTGTGTGGTACAGCCAATAGATACCCCAAATCAGTGCTTGATATTATGCTAGCTCTTTCCATAACAAGAGGCTGCATCTGCTGGTCAGGTGTTATAAGAAGTATAAAAGAAATCTAAAAACACTATTTGCTTTGAAAGTTCTTTTTAATTAATGGGGAAGATATGATAAGCACTAATAAAAAAATCCTTATATTTAGCTATTCTCTTTTTCATGTTAGAGATAAAGTCTATACCTTGCGTTTATCATGGTTCATTTTGAATCTTCATAAAAAATAAATCATTATAAACTTTTTAAAAATTTTAACTCCATATATGAAAAGTCAATTCAATTGATGTAGTTACAGATTGAGACCATTTTTCTTGTCAGCTTATGCTACCATTAGTCACTTTGTCAGGGCGGAACAAAGAGGAAGTGTTGTAAGAGTATAAAGAAGAACCATTCTTCCTTAAAGCTCTCTAAGCAAACCTAAGCTTTTAAAAAGCTAAGCAAAATATTCTATTTTAAATATGATTGTGGAAAAGTACTTGCTTTCTTTTCTTGGTCACTGGCTGAGCCAGGAGGGGGGCCATCAGGTTCATCTGGCTGTTCCTCGGCAGTCGGGGAGGCACTGGGAGAGGCACTTTTGTTTACATCTGTATCTAGGCAACCAGAATGCTGAATCAGATCAGGAACTATGGCAAGTGAATTTTTGCAGTGGCAGTAATTTTTTTTAATTGAGAGCAGTTTCTGTACAGATGGCTAAGCTCAAAGGGAGGCATCCAATTTATTTTACACTTGCCTCTTCCTTCCCCCCACGACTCCAATTCTCCCTCATTGCCCATCGCACTACAGTCAGCTAGAAGAGCATATCCTCACAGGTACTTCTATGAGACATTTATGAACTTTGTTGAGATCAAACCATTCTATAATGAAATGAAAGGAAATAATTTCTTACCCTATTGTCCCCAAGCCATCTGAGGGGCTTCTTTGGGATTTATTGCTTTATTTATATGTAATAAAAAATATGAGTAAGAGAATGAAGTATGAGAAGTTTAGAGACCTTAAGTAGTCCGTAGGATAAGTACCTGCACTCATGATGCTTGATTTCCCTACTTTATTTTTTGTTGGTTTGATTTTTTAGAAGGAAACAAATTTTTTTTTCTTTCTCAGAAAGCCAAAGTACTAAGGAATCTTGATTGCATCCTAATTAAAGTCATGTTTCTGGGGCATCTTCCCAAGGGTGACTTAACAGCATTGTGACTTAACAGCATTGTGACTTACCAGCATTGTGACTGCAGGAAGGACCTGTGACATCGGTGGGGTTGGCCCTCACAGGTTGTGAAGTCCCTGAGATTTAGGAGCTTTGAAGGTTTCCCTTAACGCTCATTGTCGTAACAGTCACTAGGTCCTTCACTTCTTTGTCTCACTGGGTGGCAAGTGGCCATTGTTAAACCGACATTTCATACCCTTCCTCCGATTTTATCTTCACAGTTTGATAAGAAACCAATTACCATCAAATTAGACAAAGAAAAAGGGAAATGCCATGGTACTCCTGAATCTTCAAGTGTGCTAGAGGAGTATCACAAACGATGCACAGATAATGACAGGTGACATGGGTCAGGGTTTTAAATAAGTAAAAATATTTAACCTTAACTTCATAGAGGGAATTTTATTCAGCTATTTGGCCAAAAAGGAGTGGATTGTTTTAGCTCTAAAAAGTTTTTCTGAGTTTTAAAATTTGAATTTGCATATTCTGTTAATACTTCATAGACTTCATATACAAAAATAATGTTATTGGCTAAGTTATTGTCAAATTATGGTGCCAGATTTGTCTTGCTCCAAGGACACATGATATTCAGGATGCTGAGTGACAAAGTTGGATTCCAAAGGTAGAGACCACCCATGATTTTGGCTTCAGTGGAATATCTCTAGTGCTAACCCTTCAAACTTAGAGATACAGTAGTTCATGGTTTGCAAGCAGCCCCAAAGGCTCATTACACACCTTCAAACAAACAACCTTCTCTTGCTCCTCGCAAGGGTGGGGAACCTACAGCCTTAAGGTGAAATGTGGCCATCTAGGTCCTTAAGTATGCGTACAGCCTTTTGACTGAATCCAAATTTTGCAGAACAAATCCTTTTATTAAAAGGGGTGTGGCAGAAAAAGATGAAGGATTTCTTGCCTCCTTCAGTGCATAAAAACGAATCTTGGCAGGGCGCAGTGGCTCACGCCTGTAATCCTAGCACTCTGGGAGGCCGAGGCAGGTGGATCGTTTTGATCTCAGGAGTCAGACCAGCCTGAGCAAGAGCGAGACCCCGTCTCTACTAAAAATAGAAAGAAATTATCTGGACAACTAAAAATATATAGAAAAAATTAGCTGGGCATGGTGGCACATGCCTGTAGTCCCAGCTACTCAGGAGGCTGAGGCAGGAGGATTGCTTGAGCCCAGGAGTTTGAGGTTGCTGTGAGCTAGGCTGACACCATGGCACTCTAGCCCAGGCAACAGAGTGAGACTCTGTCTTAAAAAAACAAAAACAAAGAATCTTAAAATCAGAAGGCTGCAGGTTCCCCACCTTGCCGGGGATTTGTTCCTTTTCTGCACAGGAGAATTCCCTGAAAGCATTGTTCTGTTTTGCTCCTTATAGTTTCCCTCTCCAACTCTCTCTTTGTGATGGTCTGAATTGTGTTCCACCCCTCTACTCCCTTCAAATGTTGAAGCCCTAACCCCCAAGGGGACTGTATTTGGAGATAGGATCTTTAGGAGGTAAATAAGGTTAAATGAGGTCATAAAGGTGGGGTCCTCATCAAACAGAACTGTGGCTTTATAAGAAGAAGAAAGCAAGAGAGAGACATCACTCCCTCTGCCACGTGAGGACACAGAGAGAGGGTGGCCATCTGCGAGCCAAGAGGAGGGCCCTTACCAAGAACCAGATCTGCCAGTGCCTTAATTTTGGACTTCTGAGCCTCTAGAACTGGGAGATTATAAATTTCTGAGGTTTCAGCCAGCCAGTCTGGTATTTTGTTAGGACAGCCCAAGTAGACCAAGATGCTTGAACCACTGTCTGTTTCCCTGCAGCCATGTTCTGCTGCACAAATACATTCAGGAGTGAGCAGAGACGTGGATTTAACCAGAGTTTCATTTAGTCAAGAAAGTATGAGGAGGTGTGAGGAGCACAGGATGATTATACTGCTTGACTGTGTAATGTAGCCCTTTGTGCCTTGATTTAGAGTCAGCTGTGAGCTCATCCTCTCCCCAACAGAGAGATGATGTTTCTTGAGAACAGGGGCTTTTTTTTTTTTTTTTTTTTCATCCTTATATTTCCCAATGATCCCAGCACAATTGATGCTTTAAATTAGGAGGTGCTCAATTTCTTTCTGAAATAAATGATTCCAGAACTCCCAGAGATTCTCCTGATGCTGAGACACTGGGTAGAGGCTTTCTGTCCCTTGTAACCACCATGGAAACTGCTCTCATCAAGGTCCCCCGTGACCTGTTTATTGCTAAATCTAGTGGTTAATTCTCAGTCCTCATCTTACTTGCCCCCTCAGCAGCATCTGACAGAGTTGAGCACTGTCTTCACCCTGAGACTCTTTCTTTACTTGGCTCCCAGAGTGAAGTGTCTCCCACCTTTCTGCTACTCCTTTTTGTGGGTTTCTCTTTCATATCCCTAATCTCTGAGCAAGAGATCAACCATCTAAGTTTGCCTACCTAGAACTTTCCTGAAAGTCCTGTGTCCTTGGAAACCCCTTCCCATATAGTGAACTAGAATAGTTGGTATCCTATCTCAGGATGTTGCAGTGCCCCAGAGGTCAGTCCTTGGACTTCTACACTCACTACCTTGATGATTTCACTGAGTCTAATGGCTATAAGCTGATGTTCCTCAAATCCTCACCCACTGCAGTACATGACAACAGCCTTTTCCTAGTTGCTCAGGCTCTAAACCCTGGAATCTTCCTTCATCCCTCTCTTTCTCTCATACCTTTCCTGTTTACACCACCTTTTAAGTATATCCAGGGTTGGATCATTTCTTGGCACCATTATGCTGGCCCAAGCCACCATTCTCTCTCCCCTGGATTATTGCAGTGACTTTCTAAAACCAAGTTTCCTTCCGCCAAACTTGTCCCCCCTCTAAATTATTCTCAGCAAAATAGCTAGTGATGTTTTCAAAATTAAGACTGAACATGAAATTCATCTTTTCAAAATTTGTCAGTAGTTTTCCATCTTGCTCAGAATAAAAGAGAAAACTTTTCTGAGATCTATCTACAAAACCTCTCTGAGGCTATGTGGCAGGGTCCTCCCATAGCTGTCCAGCCCCATCTCCTACTACTCTTCCCCTTGCTTACTCCCCTCCAGCCACAAAGGCCCCCTGAGGACCCTGTGAACACAGGGGCAGGCTGTTGCCCCAGGTCCTTGAACTGTAATGCACTTCCCTAGATGCACCCTTCTCTCTCCCTGCTCATCCGTTCTTTCCCCAAATGTCACTTTCTCAGGCCTTCTCTGGCTATCAAAAGTTACTGTTTTCTGCTATATTACATGTACTTCTTATGAATATTTCCTGATGTATTTCCCTCTTAGCATTTATCCGATATACTTTTTACTTTTCTTATTGTTTCCCCTGCTAGAATCTAAGCTCCATAAGGGCAAATATTTTTGTTACTTTAGTTCACTGCTCTGCCTCAATACTTAGAATGGTGTCTGGCATGTGGTAGGTGCTCAGTAAATATTTTAATTGAATAAATGAAGTCCACTAAAAGTGTAGAAAAATTCTAAAGGGGAGTTCAGATGTACAGGTGACTTCTCTTAGGGGTCAGGTGGATGGATGTGACACAAACTTTTTTTGTTTTTCCTAAAGAAAAGAGATTTATTTGGCTCACAGTTTTTCAGGCTGTACAAGAAGCACGGCACTAGCACCTGCATCTGGTGAGGGATTCAAGCTGCTCCCACTCGTGGTGGGAGGGGAAGGGAAGCCAGCATGTGCAGAGATCACATGTGAAGAGGAAGCAAGAGAGAGAGAGAGGGGAGGTGCCAGCTATTTTTAATAATCAGCTCTCCTGGGAACTAACAGAATGAGAACTCACTCATTACTTCAAGGACAGTAGTAAGCCATTCACGAGGGGTCTGTCCCTATGACCTAAACACCTCCCATTAGGCCCACAGACATCCAAACTATAGCCTCCTGCTATAAAAAGGGCTTGTGGGAGTGGATTCTCTCTCTTCTCCTATTCTGCTATATCAGGACCTGGTGTTCCTCCCCTCTGGAGGATGCAGTGTTCAAAGTACCATCTTGGAAGCAGAGATACTGGGCCCTGACCCGCCAACACCTTGATCTTGGACTTCCCAGGCTCCAGAACTATCAATCATAGGATGGTTCATGAGGTCTGATTGAGGTATTGCATATTGAGAACTTAGCATTCTCTTCCTCATATGGTCTCGTCTCCTCTTCCTTGCCTGGTGTGGTCTCCTCTTCCTCTTCCTGTCTCATCTGCTCTTCCTTGTCTGTTCTGGTCTCCTCTTCTGGTCGCCTCTCTTTTTTTCAGTTCTGGTCTGCTTTTCCGGTTCCCATCTGTTCACTTCTTCCGGTTACAGTCTCCTCTTCTGGTTCCGGTCGTCTCCTCTTCCGGTTCCAGTCTCCTCTGTTCTTCCGGTTCTGGTTTCCTCTTCCGGTTACGGTTCCTGTCTCCTCTTCCGGTTCCAGTTTCCTCTTCCGATTCCAGTCTCATCTCTTCTGGTTCCAGTCTCATCTCCTCTTCCGGTTCCGGTTCCTGTCTCCTCTTCCGATTCCGGTTCTGGCATGCTCTTCTGGTTCTGGTCTCATCTCTTCCAGTTACGGTATCATTTCTTCTGGTGCCGGTCTCCTCTTCCAGTTCCGGTTCCTGTCTTCTCTTCCGGTTCTGGCCTCCTGGTTCTTGTCTCATCTTCTCTTCCGGTTCCGGTCTCCTCTTCCGGTTCCGGTTCCTGTCTCCTCTTCTGGTGCCGGTCTGCTCTTCCGGTTCTGGTCTCCTCTTCCGGTTCCGGTCTCCTCTCCTCTTCCGGCTCCAGTCTCATTTCCTCTTCCGATTCCAGTCTCTTCCGGTTCCTGTCTCCTCTTCTGGTCTCATCTCTTTTTTTCGGGTTCTGGTCTGGTCTTCCGGTTTCAGTGTGCGGATGTGACACGAATTGTTCAGGAACTGGCATTTTACCTGAACTTTGAAAAATACACAGGCTGGGGGCTGCTGATATCTGAGTGGCACCCATGATTGTTTGACT